TCCTCAGCCACCTTAAATCAGCCCCAGCAGCTTCCTCCTCCCAGCCGGGCGACCCAGCCCCCTCCATTTGTCCTCCCATTCTCCCACTCCCCACTCAGTGTGCGCCTGCTGGCCCCCAGATCACCTCTCTAAGAGCCTGTGGAGGTTTCATCAAGCCGGCGCTGGTTATACCGAGCAGAGGGGAAAACTGTCCGCAGCAGACCGCAGGCCTGCGTATGCTGGAGTTGGCCCGCAGGGGCAAGGAGTCAGGAGATCTGGGTTCAAATCCCCGCTCTGACTCTTGCTAGCTGTGGGTTCCTTCCCTCCCCCTTTCCCTCTGAGATTAACTTCCATTCCACTGTCTGGATTCTGAAGGCACACAGTCAGTTACACGCCGTCTCCCTCATTAGAATGTGACTTCCTTGAAGGCAGCAGCCGTGAGCAGGCCTTTCATTGTAACCCCAGGGCTTAGAGCAGGTAAACAATTATGCTTGCAGACTAACTGCTGGGTGAGATGAGGGCTTCAGAATAGACTTGGCATCAGGAAGGCCTGGGTTCAAATCCTGCCTCAGACGCTAACTAGTTGGAGGACCCCGGACAAACTACTTAAACACCCCGTGCCTCGGTTTCCCCATCTTCAAAATGAGGAAATCTTTCCGGCTCAACATCTTTGATTTTAAGGTCCTTTTGATCTCCTAGGGTAGGGCTTCCAGGGGCAGCATGCCTGGGGATCAGCTCCCACTCATGGGACATCACTCCAGGGGGAGAGGGCCAGAGGTCTGACTGGCTGTGACTTCCCAGACCCTCAGTTTCCTCCTTTTTAAAATGGGAATAAATAGTACTTGTGCCTAGCTGGGGGTGGGGGGCACAGTATAGAAATGGGAACAATGACTTTTACTCCTTCTGTCCAGGAGAGCGTGGTGCCCAAGAGGCACTGGCAGCGAGGACCCCATGTCTATGTAGTTAAAGGACCTCTGTCCCCTGATTTGCCTGGCGCGTAGTAGGTGCTTAATGTTTCTTGACCTGAATCACGGAGAGAATGGGGCTGAGGAGGAGGCAAGTGGAGAACAGGCCTTCTAAGAACCAGCTGCCGTCTTCCTGCTGTGGGAGACACAGGCTCCCTTCCCTGCCCCCAATCAGTGGGGGTCCAGGAGGGCCTGAGCCTCCCTCCCTTCCCTGTCATGGGGGAGGGGGAGGACAGGGCCAGGGAGGCAGCCCGCAGGCGGCAGCATGAGCAGGAAAACTCATCAATTTGATGGCTTCTCTGGGAGCTCAGCTGTGCTCTAGCTAGCCCATCACGGAGACAGATTGATGGCCTTCATTTGTCTCTGGGGCAGGCCATGCCTGAGGCTTCTGCTCTCCAGAAAGGGGGGGTGGGCTGGTGAAGGAGAGGGGGAGGAATGTCTAAGATGAAGAGAGGCCCTGCGGGGAAAGAGAGGGACCATCACCCACATCATTCACACACTCATAGATTCCTAAGTCTGAAAGCAACTGCAGGGGCCATCTAAGCCAACCCCCTTAATTTTACAGATAGGGAAACTGAGACCCAGGGATGGTGAAGCAACTCAAACGTGATCATGCAGCTAGAATCAGCTTTATGATTTAGACCCTCCTTTGAGACCCAGCTCAGGCCCCATCTTAGGACGAAATCTTCCTTCCTCGATGCTTTGAACAAATGTGGATTTGACGTCATGTGTCCTGGCCCCAGCCCTGGTGGGCTCTGGGAGGCTTTGGTGTGGGTGGAGCGGAGTAGAATCACAGCTGCTGATTCATCCCCAGAAGCGCGTCTCTGGAGCAGCCGGTTCTGTTCTAGGTGCCACGTTGTAGGAGGAATGCTGATACTCCAGAGAACCTCCAGAGGGTAGAGAAGTCATGATGAAGGAACTGGGGCTCCTTACCTGGAGAGAACCTGAGAGCCGTCTTAAATGTCTGAAGGGCTTCTCGTGTAACAAGATTAGCCTTTTTCTGCTTGGCCCCTGAGAGCAGAGCACGGAACCTTGGGTGCAGGTTGTGAGGGCAGAGTCCTCTGGACGTAAGGAAGCACTTGCCAACAATTACTGCTGTCCCAGAGTGGAGACCTGCCTGCTCCTGGAAATTTCCAACCAAAGGCCAAATGGCATCCCCTTCCCTTCTTTACAGAGTAAAGAGCCTCTTGGCAGGGTACTATTGCTGAAGTCAAGGGTTCCACCCTTGAGCAGACGGGGTAGCTGGGGACCAATACCTGTCATGCACAGAAATCCTTTTTTAATCGGGTTTTCTTTGGTCATTCATTGGTAGAAAGGCTCAGATGGAAATAGATTGATAACTTTTGAGGTCCCTACCAACTCAGAAATGCTTTGATTCCATGGGGAGGGGAAGGGGTTTGGGCTTGATCCAGGCTGGAGGTAGGGGGTAAATCAAGGTATTCCAGAAGGAAAATTGAAGCCAGGTGGGGCAGTGGACAGAGCAATGGGCCTGGAGGCAGGAAGACCTGAGTTCCAATCTGGTCTCAGGCACTGACTAGCTGTGTGACCCTGGGCCAGTCATTTACCCCTGTTTGCCTCAGTTCCTCATCTGTAAAATGGGCTGGGAAGGAAATGGCAAACCACTCCGGTATCTTTGCCAAGAAAACCCCAACGGGGTCATGACGAGTCGCATGTGATTGAAATGACTCGGCAACAACAAAAAACACAGCCTGACTTCCTCACATGAGTGAGGGTTTGGTTTGGTACTGGCCATTTAACCCAGTTTAGGGTGTCCTGGGGCAGGATCCCTGACTCTACCTCAATACTGTTGGAATCCTGTGAAAACTGGGGATGTGGTCTGCTCAAGTCTTTCCCTCCGAATGAGTAAAAAACCACCTTCAATCCACTTTTGGCTGGAGCCCACCAGTCAATATGTGTTTATTAAAGACTTGTTATGTGACAGGCACTGTGCTTCTAAGCCCTGGGGATACAAAGAAAGGCAAAAAGCAAGCTCTGCCCTCAAGGAGCTTACAGTCTAACGGGAGAAACGACACACAAACAGTTATATATAATGAAATACATATAGGATAAAGTGGTGATAATCAATAGAGGGAGTGGAAGAAAGGGTGGTGTGTGTGTGTGGGGGGGGTGTCCTAAAAGACCACAGACAAACAGACCATTCAACTAATGATTTAGAGAAGGGATATGTGGCTTTACCTGGTCAAGCCCAGAGTATAATAATGGGCAGTAGGGTTCAGGATAGGACTTCACCCAGATCAAGGAGGCAGAACCCGCCAATTCCTAAATATGCCCCCTCCTGGAACCTTTTCCCTCTCAGACTTCCTCAGCCTTTCTCATCTCTTAACCTCTTAAGACCCTTTTCAGACCTCTCTCAACTCTTAAATCTCAAAGAACTTACTGTCTACACTTTGCTTTGGGCCCATAGCTTGAGCTATCTGGTATTAAAGTTCTCTGTCTCTCCCTACTTGGCTCCCAAGAGATGAGAAAGATGCAGCCGCTTTCCTTCTTTACAGAGGTGGTGGGCTATGGATATGGAACGTGGCATTACTGTCAGAATTGATTAATGGAATGGTTTTACTGAAATGCTTTCTCACCCTCCCTGTGTTTGTCTCTTTGTCACAATGAGTGATCTGCAGGGTAGGAGATGGAGAGAGATACATTCAGAAATAAAAATTTAGAAATTTTTAAAAATCTAAACAAAAGATATAAATTTTAAAATTTAATAATTTATCCACATAGAAGCCTTATCTCCCCTGACATTCTGGAAGCTCCTTAAAAGCAAGAGTTGGGTCAAATTCTTTGACTTTCCTCAGTTCAAGGCCTCTTCTGATACCTCAGGGGAGTATGGAGGTGAGCCTGTGTTTCTGAAGGTATACCAGCAGAATGTAAGCCGTATGTTCATTCTACCAAGTAGAAATGGTCTGGGGTATGGGGCCAGTGACAGAACAATTGTGGTCCCAGAGAGGACCAGTCTAGGAGAGTCTGGAATGGCCTTTCACCAGGTTAGCCCCAAGGAAGAGCCATGCCTAGGAAACCACACAGCCCTAAAATATGGAAATTCCCCTGTCCCAAATGTAGCGGGTATTCAATGAGGATGTTTAATGAATGGGGGAATGAACAGCAATGGGAAAAGAAAAGGATAGATAGGGTCCCTGCCCTCCATGAGTCTACCGGGGAAGGTAAGGCTTAAAAACATGGTTTGACCAGGATGAATTAATGGCCATGAATGAGGCTGGTATTGGGTCAATTAGAGGGGAAAAAGGACCAGAGAGATAAGGGAGTGGTGGTAAGCCAAGAGAGGAAGAGTACTGGAGGGATTTTGTGCTCATTTTTCAATGGAGAGATGATACAGAAGGATTGGAGAACCCTAGGGAAGCACCTTCCCCTTCTTTGAGAAATTGGGTTGATTTATAGAGAGAACTAGGAGAAATAGAGTCAGAGTGAGAGAGGAACCCCACCCTTACCCATCTCTCCCCACAACAGTCAAACATGGGACTTGGGTGTAGGCCTCTGCCAATGGAGCCTGTCTATGGGACATTGACTATACCTCATTCTGGGGGTGTCCACACCTCCCTGGCACTAACCATTATTCAACCAAGGGTCTCTGTCTTGTTTTCAGCCTTTTTTTCAGGAAACTTTTCACCTGTAGGGTTGTAAACTGCCTGCTTGTACGTGGAGAGACACTTTCACGCATGTTGTCCAAGGTTTCCTGGTCAGGGCTATGAGCCAAAGAGAAAGATGCAAACTTGGGCCTTCTGTGGCATGAGAGTGTCTGAGCCCACGGTCCATAACTTAAGTCACAATCTCTGTTCCTAAGCTCTTCCACAGCTGTGGTCTCTAAAACCCTCCTGCTGGGGCTCGAGGCACCGAGATGGTCCCCAAGCGCTGACCCCACCTCTTTGCCAGTGAGTGAATTCATCCCAGACTGCAGCCAGACTGACTCCTCCCAGTATGGGAGGATTGATGGAAAAAGTTGCTGCCCAAGCTGAGATCTGATTCTCTTCTGCAGCTGAAGCACTCAGAGGGGTGAGAACAGGCATCCCTCCTCATTGCCCACTAGCAGACTTCAGGAAGCAGCACCCTCTCTTTCCCCTCGATGGGGGACTGCCCTCCTACATGGCGGGGTTGGGTCCCCTCCTTCTGGGGCTGGGGCATTTCTGAACATGTGTCCCTCCTGGGGAGGGGAGCTAGTCTGAGGGATGCTGCATGGACCCGACGGTGGGCCCTGGCCCCCTTTGGGGGACCAGATCCTTGGGCTGGGAGGCATTGGTGGTGGTGGCTGCGGCAATGGGAAGGACAGAGATGGCGAAAACGTTTCCGGAAGTGCTTGGAGGCCAAGGCATAGACAAGGGGCTTGAGGCAGGAGTTGGCATAAGAGAGGCAGTGAGATGCCAGGCGACAGGCATAGGTGGCCCAGTTGAAGGGGAAATGACCGAACCAGAAATACAAGATGACCACGTGGTGGGGCAGCCAGCAGAGGCCAAAGAGGGCGGCCACCGCCAACATGGCTCGGCCGGCCCGAGCTTTGGCCTGGCGGCGTGTCTCCAAGGCTGGGCTCCTGGGGTCCACGGCCACCCAGAGGAAGCAGAAGGTGCGGGCATAGGCCAGGGTGACCACAGCCATGGGCAGCAGGTATCCCACGGCAAAGGTGACCAGGTCCAGGGCCCGGCGACTCTCATCCTCCCAGCCTGGCACACACAGCACCAGCCGCCCGTATTGTACTGTCCAGTAATAGCTGAAGTAAGGTCCGGAAAAGAGGAGGGCCAGGAGCCAGATCAGGCCAGTGGCAGCCCAGGCATTCTGGGATGTTCGGAGGGACCGGGAGCGCAGAGGATGGCGGATAGCCAGGTACCTGGAGACAAGAAGGCGGGCCGTCATGAATCCCCACTTTGTCTGCCCTCTCTCTACCTCCCAAGGTGGAACCCTGGACCGTGAGGGGAGGGAGGCTGGTCCCTGCCAGCTCATGGCGGGCCTCCCTCAGACCATCCCTGACACTTTGGGAGAGGCAACAGGAAGGACCTGGCACTCAGAGAGCCTTGTTTGTGACCTTGGACAAGTCACGTCCACTTCATGCCTCAGTTTCTTTATCTTTTTTTTTTTTGGCAAGGCAATGGGGTTAAGTGACTTGCCCAGGGTCACATAGCTAGTGAGTACCATGTGTCTGAGACTGGATTTGAACTCAGGTCCTCCTAACTCCAGGGCCGGTGCTCTATCCACCGCACCACCTAGCTGCCCCATCTTTATCTTTAAAATAGGAGAAGGACCTGTGACTTCCCTGGCATGGGGAATGCCATCATTTGGAGAATGACTAAATGCCATTGTGAGATAATGAACGGAATATCATCGTGCTATAAGATAGGACCTGGATGGAGAATTCAGAGACTTGGGGAGACTTAGCGGGCTCCATCAGAGGAGGGAGCACCCACATTGCTTTAGGTTAGACTGGAAACTCCCGAGGGCAGGCGCTGGGTTATTTTTCATCTCTGCATCTCCAATACTGAGGCAAAGACCCTACATGTAACGATGCCTCCATAAATGCCTGTTGGATTTGTCTCACTGAATCTGTGAAACCTGGGTTGGAGTGGGGATGCTGCTCTGTAGATCTTACTAGTAAAAGTAATAGGATTCCAGATTGAGAGCCAGAAGGGCCCTCAGAGGCCAGGGAGTCCGTCCGGGCCTGGCCCCCATTTTGTTGTTCAGTCATCTCAATCATCTCAGACTCCCTGTGACCCCATCTGGGGTCTTCTTGGCAAAGACACTGGCAGGGTTTGCCATTTCCTTCTCCAGCTCATTTTATAGGCAAGGAAATCGAGGCAGGCAGGGTGAAGTGACTTGCCCAGGGTCACACAGCTAGAAAGTGTCTGAGACTGGATTTGAACTCAGGTCTTCCTGATTCCAGGCCCAGCCCTCTATCCACTGCACCCCCAAACCAGATCCCCTCATTTCACAGAGGAGGAAACTGAGGCCTACGGACTTTGAGTGACTTGCCCAAGGTAACAAGGTAATAAGCCTCAGAGGCAGGATTTCATCCTAGGTCCTCTGATTCCAGAGTAAAGAGCGCACATTTATTTGGAGCATTAAGGGTTACCAAATATCTCACAACAGCCCTGGGAAGAAGAGGCTATTATTACACTCATTTTACAGATGGAGACATGTTAGAACTCATGTCTCCCAGACTCTCATCCATCACATCATTCATTCATTCATTCATTCATTCATTCCACCACCTAGACTCCCATCTATCACATCATTCATTCATTCATTTGTCCATCTAGACTCTGGTTCATCACTTCATTCATTCATTCTCTCATTCATTCATTTGACCACCTAGATTCCCATCTATCACATCATTCATTCATTCATTCATTG